ATCATAATTTCCTGAAACTCCTTAGAATATTCGTTACTCAATTTGAATCCCATAGATTGCATAAGATCCCTTCCCCAAAGGGACACTGGAAGCTCGAGGACGTAGGGTTGCATAACACCCGAATGGCCCCCTTCATCCTGCCACTGTAATTGTCCTGCACTAATATCTGGTGAATTGGTATATCCTAGCCCTTGTAGAGTTTGAGAGGAGACTTGCACTGGCCACCTACAGGGCCAGTCTTTACAGCAATGATGCTCTGATCTGCACCAGTGTCCAGGAGTCCCGTTATCTTGGTACCATTAATAGTTAATTGCAAGGTGGGTCTTTGATCTAAATCAAGTGACAGAAAAGTTAAATCTGTCCCCGTGGATCCGAAGCCTTTATTTCCTCTGTTTCAATCAGCAGCTGGATAGGACTCATGTAAACTGGGTAATAAAACTAGTTGTGTAATCCTATCACCTGGTGAAATGGCAGTAATTCCTTTTGGAGACTCAACCATAATTTTCACGATCCCAGTATAATCAGGATCAATCACTCCTGGATGTACTTTAAGACCTTTTAGGGTGGTGGAGGATCTTCCTATCAATAAACCCACCGTGCCCAGCTTCAAAGGGCCTTTAAAATCAGACTCCACTAATTGTACTCCCATCTGCGGAGTCAGTACGAGTCTAGTGGTGGCACAGAGGTCCAACCCTGCTGAGCCTGTAGTGGCTCTCTGCGGTTCCTCGGATGATGGAGGGTTGGCCACTGCTCCAGGTTCCCGCCTTGCTCCTGATTCTCCACTGCCCCATATATTTGCAGGCCCTGAGGTCGAGGGCCCCGCTGTCCGTTTTTTGAAAGATTGCCTGTTGTTATAGGCTGACCATTTATGTCCTTGACTGACCTACACTCATTCGCCCAATGCTTCCCCTTTTTACACCTAGGACAAAGTCCAGGCTGTGTAGCGCATTGGCTCCTCCCTATTCCTTGGTTACCTTCTCCTTGAGGGCAGCTACGTTTGAGATGGCCCATTTTTCCACACCGAAAACATGCCCCGGTGTTCCCTCCTTTCTTGTTACTAAGTTGCATAACTGCAGCCGCAAGGCCTGCGTTAGTTAGAGGTCCCCCTAATTCTCTGCACACTTTCATCCATACTTCTAGACCTTTGTTCTTATAAGGGGTGATTGCAGCCTTGCATTCTTTGGTACATTGTTCATAAACTAGCTGCTTTATAAGTGACATCGTGGCATCTGGGTCCCCAAAGATTCTGCCTGCAGCCTTGACCATGCGGGCCACAAAATCTGAAAAAGGTTCCATAGGTCCCTGAAGGATCTTAGTAAGGCTGCCGCTCACTTCCCCTTTATTAGGTCGGGACTTCCATGCCCTTGTTGCTAGCTGATTTATCTGGTCATAAACCTGCTGTGGATATCCATTTTGTTGATTGGCAAATCGGCCTTGTCCCAGCAGCATGTCTACATCCCAAGCTGCTTGACCTCCACCTGCAGCCCTGTTAATCGCAGCTTGTTCACTGGCAAATTCTATCAAAAATGCCTTCCAGTCTAAATACTGCCCTGTGCTGAGACATGCTCGAGCAAGATTCATCCAATCAGATGGAGTCATGCAAAATCTGTGCAGAGCCTCCACTAGAGCAACAGTAAATGAGGCTGTGATGCCATAAGTCTGGACAGATTCCGCTAGAGACTTGATGACCTTAAAATCCAAAGGTTCATGGTATCTCTGTTGAGTCTGGGCATTGAGAAACACTGGGCAAGCTAGCTGCATTTCAGTTCTAACCTGTCTCCAAACCTCCGGGTTAAAAGAATTCCCCATAGAGACAACTCTAGACATGGAGGCAGATTCCAGATACGGTGGAGGAGCTGAGGGAGCGGCTCCACACTCAGACTCACATCCTTTAATTCTTTCTCTTTCTCCTTTATTTCTACCCCTTTTCTTTCTTATTCTCACTCTCTGCAAGGTTTCACATAATGACTCTACATCATCAGAATCAGGGGAAGAGATAGGGGACTCGGAACGCTCTAGGTCTGAAAGGTCAGGATATAGCCTTGTTTTTTCTTCCCCCTTTTTTGTTTTACTTCTGGTAGATGCTGCTTTGGCAGACATGGCCTTTTCTGATCTTTCCTCCTGCAACATTTCCAAGGCTGCCTGCCCATTCTCTACTGCATCGCTGCAGCGCTGGTCTTCAGGACACCCTCTCACTAATTTCCAAACTGGTCTAACCCCATGTTTAAGCGTCCCTTGTTCTGCAGCGAAGTCTAGATCACAGCCCAACTTTTCCCAGGAAGCTACCGTGAGGCTTCCAGAAACTGCAAACCAGGGTGCCACGACATCACATTCCTCTAGAAATCTTTCTAAAGTACTCTTCTTAATCTCTAATTTCTTTAAAAGGAGCAGCTTGTTAAGAGCCAGAAAAATTGGGTGCGAAGAAGCTGCGCCCATGATACTAGCAGCACTTTTGCCTTCACCTGCTTTCACTTTCTTTAATTTTCCCGTCCGCTTTTGTCGCGGCTCTACTCTTTAATTTTCCTGTCCGCTTTTGTCGCGGCTCTACTTAATTTTCCCGCTTTTGTCGTGGATCCCCACCTTACCTGGGGACTTACCAGTGCACTGCCCTGACTACAAAGAGTTCTGAGCCTTAAAGGGTCCCCGTATGGGCCACCACTTGTCGCATCCGCCTTGACCAGCAAGGAAGACGCAACACCAGGCTCTTCTCCAAGCAGTTTATTCAGGAACCTTGAACAATCTTCTGACCCCGGGGAAAGCCATCTTCTGACTCCGGGGAAAGCCAGCCCAAACTCTTTATAGCCACTGGGCAACCAACCCCGTAGTGCCACGTGGACAATGCCGATAGGGTCAGACATACGCAAGCAAGTCAGATTCCACGCCCAAGCCAAATAAGGAGTTGTTTATCCCAGAGAACACCTGCCATCGGGAAGGCGGAAGCCAGACGCCAGTGCCATCTTTGAGGTGCAGCCATGCACCGCTCTCTACACTTCCCATCTTGTTTATACTAGAAAATCCTTCTTGGACACGCTCAGAGGTTTGTCTCTAAGACAGTTTTAGATCCCACCAACTTGGTATTGGGTGGAAACATTACCCTGTGCAGTTTGGACCTTGCTAACACCTAGTTCCTTAGGTCTCTGGCTTTGTAAGCGATAGGAGTAGAAATGGTAGTTCTCTGAATTCCTCCCTCAAAATAAGAATATGGGGCATTGTGCTGGGTATATCATAGCAGGAAAAAAAAACCTAGCTCTTTGCTGGATAAAAACAGAAAGCTAAAGAGGGTGTGAGTAGCAATGATGAACTTACTTCAAACTGTAAAGTAAGTCTCTGTCTTTGACTCTGTGTAACAGTTCTGGCTGTCCTGGAACTTACTCTGTAGAACAGGCTGGCCTCAAACTCACCAAGGTCCACCTGCCTCTGCCTCCTGAGTACTGGGATTAAAGGCATGTGCCACCACCACCCAGCTAGCTCAGTCAGTAGAGCATGAGACTCTTAATCTCAGAATTGTGGGCTCATGCCCCATATTGGGTGCCAAATAATTTGAGGAATCCATGGATTGGGGGGAAGAAAACTTATTTATTAAGGTATGAAATGGAGATTACACGCTCATTTATACAAAATAAAGCTCCATTGCCTCTTCATTTCCCAGGGAAAGATGGGGGAAGCTCCTTTTACCAGAAAGCCTTCCATGTCTAAGAGAGCTCACGACCTCCCTCCCTCTTCCCTTTTAAGAGGTCACATAGGTGGGCAAGAAGCACTGCCTCTATCAGGCCAGCTAGCCCAAGGTCATGGGTGGAGTGAATACCCACTATATATTGACTCTTCCCACTTCCTCTAATAAGCCCCATCTTCCATCTAAACATACAGTGATCACCAGATTCAAGGTGAGAGCATTTGAAAATTGTCCACTGGAACATGGGTCCAAGGAGGCAATTCTCTCATGCCCATTTACTCTCCTCACTTGCAGTGGCTAACTCAAGGGTCTAAAACAGAAAGGAGATGAGGTGGCCCTGGGTTCTAAGCAAGTCTAAGCAAGCCATATGCTAGCAGCTTCTGCATTTACAGTGTTTGTTCACTGCCTTCTTAGGTTTTTCTTCAACTTAAATGTAGAAGTACCTTTTCTTCTGGAGTCTACAGTTTATTGCAGTCCCCAAACCTTGATACACATTTCACAAGGTTGTGTGGAGACTTTTTTTAGATTTATTTTTAATATTTTAATGATGTGTATTCGTGTGTGTCTGTGTGTAATTTTGTGCATGTGAGTGTAGGTGCCCTCAGAAGCCAGAAAAGATCATCAGAACCCCTGGAGCTGGAGAACATACAACCCATTGTGAGTCACCTCACATGGGTGCTGAGATCCAAACTCAGACCATCTGGAAGAACAGGAAGAACCCTTAACCTCCAAGCCATCTCTACAGCCTTTTCTCAATGAATGTTTGCTCTAGAAAGAATAACCCAACTAACTCTCCTATGGTCCCAAAGCAGGAAATAAAAGCAGAAGGAAACAGGGCTCCATCCCTCCCTACCTCCTCAGTTCATTGTGATAAGCTGCTGAGTTTTTCCAAGAGGCTCACAGCATATGCAGTGTATTCTCTGCTCTCCTCATCTTGTGGTAAAACACCTGACAAAGAAGACTTAAAGAAGGGATGGGTGTTTCAAACCAAGGCTGAGGGGATTCAGTTCATCATGGTGGGCGAGGCAGGGAGGCAGAACCATGAAGCAGCCCATTCCATGGCATCTACAGAAACTAACCCGAGTGAGAAGGGTTCCAGGGCTCAGCTGGCTGTCCTTTCCCACGTTATAGTCAGTTCTGTACCCCAGCCCATGGGGTAGTGTTGTTTGTATTCAGGGTGGGTCTACCTACCTCAATTAAAGCTCTCTGGAGATGCCCTCACAGACATTCCTGGTGGTGTCCTCTGGGTGAGTCTAAGCCAAGTCAAGTTGACGACAAGGTTTAGCTACCATATACAAGGTGTGTGATACATGGGGTTCTCTTCAAGGTTTCGAAGAATTTACAATGTCACAGAGAGCTGCTCCCAGCTTGCCTTCCCCAAGAAGTGACAAAAGTTATAAATCCAGGTCTTCTACTTTCTCACGAAAGGGACTGCCCAAAAATGAGGAACCAGGAAAATAAACAGTAAGTTTTCAGTATACATCCTATCTGGGGGCCCATGAGGAGAGGGGTGTACAGCAAGAGCTTCCAGAACGTTCAGGTTCAGAACAACTGCCCAGGCAGAACCGAGATTCGACAAGAGTTTCATCATTCTCATTTCACACTTCATTAGATAAGAGTATGGAGAAACACAACCTTGGTTTTTCTGAGCAGCCTTCCCTTTCTAGAACACTCAAGCCTTACTTTACAAGGACGTGCAGCATGAAACAGGGCATGAAAAAAGAGCTGGTGATGTTGAGGCAACCTTTCTGCCCAACAAGGAACTCACATCCCCAACACCTGGGAGGTGTGCCCCACAGCAAAATGATTCTGTGACACCCCTCCATCCCAAAAATCTATAGCAGAGTGATACAAATGATAGTAGAGAGTGGGGAGGAGCAAACTCATTATTGAGGCCTCTGTATGGCCTCAGGAAGGTGCTAAGAACTTTGTGTATATTGCTCATCCAATCTCAGGAACAATCCTACAGGGTCAATTATCTTGTTTTCAATCCCTTCTTTCTCTATCTTTTTCTTTTTTCATTTACAGATGAGTTGAAGAAACTCTTCAAGTCCAACTGGACTGAGGGAGACTAAGATTATAATGTATGTATAATTTGGAAGCCGCTTTCTTTCTGCTCTACAATACAGTCTCCAGTTGCACGCTGGATCCTTAGATGCCATAGGGCCACATGCTACCAAAACTGCCAATAAAGTAAAGAAAGGAACGCCTTGACTCTTACTCCTGTCGCCTTTTCATCAGAGGAGAGGGACACATGTGTCCACTTCAAAGAGGTTTCTTTAAAGACTTCTTAAAACAATATATATTTTCTTTCTTTTTTAAAGATTTGTTTTACTTCTGTACATGCATGTGTACACATGCACATATGTGTAGGGGTTCCCACAGAAGCCAAATAGGAAGGCCAGAGTCCCTGAAGCTGGACTTACAGGTGGTTATGAATGCTAGGAACCCAACTCTGGTCCTTGGTGAGAGCAGCAAGTGCTCTTAACCGCTGAGCCAAATCTACAGTTCCCCATAGTGATGTTTTTAATGTCACATTCTCTTTTTATAGCTTTTAATGCAATGCCACGTGTTCAGACACAAGCCATACTATGCAACAATGGTGAAATAAAGGGGATCAGTTGTACAGACCAATCATTTCAACACACATACATATATGTGTATGTACACACACATACACACACACACACACACACACACACACACACACACACACACACACACACTACAATGTCCTCTGACTAAAAAAAAAAATCCCTCTAGACACAATCTTACCCCCTTCTTCTGTCTCCCCTCACAATTTCCCCTGCCTACCTTATATTCAATCCCATTATGATTATAAAAAACTGAGAAGTCATTACCACAGCAAAACCAGACATGGACAGACATCCACACAACGCAACAGATGGGTGGTTCAGATTCCTACAGTGAAAGTAGAAGGTGTAGGTCACAATCTCCTCCCTGATGATGACCTCAGGTCAGCAACCATAGCCCAGCTCGTACATACTCTCCTTCAGTCCTAATACCTACACCCGCAGTGTAGCCATAGGCTTCACCTACCCCAGCTTCTTCCCCCTACATTTCCATTCAGTCAATCCCACTTGGCCTATCTGTCTCTCATATCTTCTACTAACCTCTTTTTCAGTGTGCTGTAGGTTTCTGCTCTGCTTAATGAATAAACTCCCATGGAGCCACAAGCCTTCACCCAAGCATTCTTTCCACCCACCACCTAAACAGAAACACAGCTTTTCCTTAATTATACAATAGATCTCAAACTGCGTCCCCCACATCCCCCTCAAATAAGCTGCTTTTTCTCCTCCAGTCCCAATTCATGGACAATTACACTTGCTTTCAACCACCCTTACAGGGCACTTGTTGTGCAGCCCCAGCACAAGAGGCCTCCCCCTCCCCTTCACAGCTCGTATTTACTCCTTGATGAGTCTTATGGCCCTTGATACGCTGAACACCTGGTTGCATTCCTTCAGCACATTCAGCTTGTGTTGATTGACAGTTAGCCTCTCAAGCTCTCAATCAACTCTGCATCAATGACACTCATTTCCCCTCTGCTTCTAACCACAAAGCCAGTGGATTTCAAAACTTGGTCTTTGGGACCAACGGCATCAGCATCATCTGGAAACTTGTTAGAAATCTTGATTTTCAGGTTCTTCCCTAGACCCATTCTGAGTCTCCATGGGGAGGGGGTAGCAATCTATGATTTAATAGGTTCTGAATGATCCTGAGGATTTGAGTGGTGTGAGGATTGATAGTCCTGTGGATGAATACACACCATGGGTTCATACCATCAGTTCAAATGTTTCTAGTCTAAGATCCCTGTGCTTTGATTGCTTCTCATCACTATTTTTGTTCTTTCATATCTGTTCCTCTGAGATTTATCATGCATGGACTGGGTGTGGAGAGCTTCTTCAGACCTCTCTTAGTTTCTTAGTTTCCCTGTTGCTGTGATAAAATACCCTGACAAAAGCAACTGAAGAGAGGAAAGATGTACTCCGCCTCACAGTCCTAGGTTCCAGTCAGTGACGGTGGCGGGGAAGTCATGGCAGCAGGAGTCACATTGCATCTGTCAGTAAGTGGAGAGCGCTGAACACATGCTGTTGCTCAACTCCTTCTCTCTACTTCTGTAGTCTAGGATCCCAGTCAAGGAATGGGGCCACCCACAATGGGCAGATCTTCCAACCTCACTTTAAATAATCAAGATGGCCCCCTACGGCATGCCTAGAGGTCTGTAACCCGGGTGATTCTACAGTCTGTCAGGTTGAGTGTTCACAAGACCTCAACCATCACAAGACCTCAACTTCATCTTGGGTGGACACTGATCAGCCATTTCCATGTTACCCACAAGCCTATAATTGCTTTGCAAAAGTTATGAGACTGTGATAGAACCTATGCTATTTACTATTCTGCACTCCTAGGCTGGTTTATACCCCTACTATCTATTTCATTCATATTTGCTAGTATTCCCAATATGCATCTACTTTCTTTAAGACTTCCATTTACCACATTTGGAAAACTGACCTTGACTATAAAAAGAAAAATGTCCATCTGCTGCTCTCCTGTCTTTGTTGATGTTCTTCCTGGGATTCAAAGAGAGGGAACCTCCTTTTCCTTGTATCCTTTGAATTCCCTGATGATCCCCCTGTGCTCCCTAAGTATGCCAGTGAAATGTGCAGGATCTCTGAGAAGTTCAAGAGCATGCATGGGCAGAGGGTGACTGATGATGGTGTCACGGGTCAGAAACAGATTCCCAGATACTGAGGCTGTTTGCCATTTGCAGATAACCGACCTCAGGAGAGAAGCAAGCACTGGAGGAAGACTGTGGGAGGTTAAGACAAGAGGAGGAAAGAGGGAAGAATGTGACAGTCCACTGCTAAACGAAGTTTACCCAGGCAGCAGAAGATCAGAGAAGGAATGTCCCAGAGACTGAGGACTCTGTAGGTAGATGGTCTACCCTCTGAGACCCATGTGAAGGGAGAACACCCGTTAAAAGGGGGTACAGTAAAGATACCAGACAGTGGGGGACTGGCAGGAAACAGAGATGTAATGGGCAGAATAGAGAGTAGAGCAAAACTGTAGCAATCTGTCAGTGAACTTGGGCAAAGGGAACTATATTAACTCCCATAATCATCAAGACAGAAGCACATTGGAAGAAGGCTACTCTGGGCAAAGACTCGGTGTGTGGGGACTGTAGTCTCGCCTCAGCTGCTCTCTACGTATCTGATACACTCTTCTATAAGGAAAGGCGTGGGTTAGACCATTCTATAAGATGTTGCTGGACCTATATCTTCCAGATGTTTCTATAGGAAAGGAGGACTTTCCCCAGCTCCAGTTCAATGAAACAACCATTCTGATTCTTCTCAGTCTATTTTGTGCCTGGCCCTAAGGTTGTGGAAAGAAGGAGAAGACAGATAGCATTGATAGTCGTCCACATTAGAAACAGACAGATGGTCATAGCAGATCCTCTTCGTTCCCCTGTCAGTAGGGGTGGTGCTTTGACTAACAGGCTAAGGAGGAATGGTACATAGGGACAGAAATAACCAACAAGTGGAAGGAATCAGTGCTAGAAAGCAACAGAGGCTCCTCTCTGACATCGGAATGGGTGTCTGTTTTGTATATGTACATGTGTGTGCGTGTGTGTTTTCATGTAAATATACATATGTATAAGCATATATGTGTATGTGGTCACATGCATATGTGTGTATACAGACACATGCATGAGCAGCTACCTATTCTCTGCTAAAAGCTGCAGAAGTATGTCACAGCCTGGGTACTCTGGAAGTAAGCGCTGAGACAGTTTGGTGTGCAAGATGTTCCCAGGGAACAGCACATGTAAGAGGAAAAAGAGTCTTATTTAGCAGATGAAGAAAGAGCTGTCATGCAGGCTGCCTTCGTCACTCACTGGAGAACTACTGGGTCTTACTAGGCCTGTATTGTGTCACACCAGATAGAAATGGCTGGGTCAAAATGGCCAGGCCTTGAGATGCCTGCTGCACTCCACCCCGGACTGTGACGACCCAGGTAAGGTCTGGTGTTAGCAGACAAAGCCCTGAAGTGCAGGCAGACCCAGAGGATGCTGACAGGTAAAGAGTGCCGGCTGCCTTCCAGATCGCTAGGAGGCAATTCTCCTTTGAAGAGAGGCCCAGACAGTGTGTTCCAAGTCCACCATACTAGAGTAGATGAAAGTGTTATATTATACATCGTAACCCAGGACATGCCACAATGTGGCTCGTTCACCATGTCAGTGCTGGTATGGGGTAAACCAAGCACAGTACAGAGTATCTGGAGTCAAGTTAGTTTCCAATGAACATGTGGAAAAGAAATTCCCTACTTGGTTATGAGTGGGTGTAAGAAATTTAAAATATAAACAGGTTCCATCTATCTATCTATCTATCTATCTATCTATCTATCTATCCATCCATCCATTCATCCATCCATCCATCCATCCATCTATCATCTATCTATCTATCTATCTATCTATCTATCTATCTATCTATCTATCTATCTATCCCTCTCCCTTTCCCCCCCTCCATAGAAGTGGAGTTAATTTTTCCTTCCCTGAATCTTCCCTGGCCTCTAGCCAGTTTGATCTACAGGATAGGAAGAAGACACTGTACTGGCATAAGGTTTACAAGCATTTGGTCTCAGAGAGGGAGGCCCTCAGTTAGCAGAGCTCCTGCTTTGCCAGCATGAAGACTTGAATTCAATCCCTAAGTGTGATAGCACACACTTATAATCCCAACACTTTGGCAGTAACAACAGGTCAATCTTTGGGCTCAATAGGTAGCCAACCTACCCTAACTGGTAAGAATCAAGTCTTTGAAAGAAAATCTCAAAGGGAGTCTATAGCATTCCTGAGGATGACACCAAGGTTGTCCTCCAACTCCCGCAGCCATGTACATCCACATACAAACATGCACACACAGATACATACACATGCACAAAAGTTAAGATAAAGAAAGACCTTGTTCTCTGGGACCACTGAGGGCATCAAACAAGCCCAGATACCCTTCAGGGACGATCATGCAGAGCAGCTCTGAGAGTATTTGAAGATGGAGAACATCCAATCTCGGCCCAGTCTTGCAGTCAACTCTCTAACCCAGAGCCAGGCATGTGGACAAAAGTGAGCCACCATCTGAATAGTGGTGGATTACAATCAACTAAACCCTGCTGGAGCCTCACACAACTGTGCCA